GCCCCTCTGGAAGGACAGCTCCTCTCAGCTCCACTGCCTCCAAGGGGCTGCAGGTGTGGAGACTCCCAATGTCAAGACCCCAGCCCACCTGGTCCATTGTCCATGCCTGAACCACAAGTGCAGGGAGGCTGGTGGCTGGCATCCTGTCCTGGCTTAGTCTTACAGTTGCTGTCCCCAGGGACCCAGGTGATGGCCCCAGGGCTGCAGAGACCTGGCCTGGGCCCCTCCAGCCCCCTCTCTGTAAGGAATGGGAAAGGAGATGTTACCAGTGACCAGTGGGTCCTGGTCTCCTGTGAGCCGGTACCATGTCTGAAGATAGGAAAGAGGGAAATAAAGACACAGAGACTCGAGAGAAACTGAGTCTTGGGCTGATCTAAGCTGCTCTGCACAGCAAAAGCAGACACCAAGGCCATCCAGTGTTTATGCATTGTAAGTGTGGGGAGGAGGGGGCTGGGCAGGATGTAGGACACCTGCTGATAACAAGTACCCAGTGGGCAGGACTGTAGAATGAGGGCACTAGCATATCTTTGCTGAAGAGAACAAACAGTAATTCAAGGAATTTTGGGGATCAAACTCAGGACCTTGCGCTTGTGAGGCAGGCAGCGGAATGACTGAGCTAAATCCCCGGCCCCAAACGGTAATTCAGAGGGGAAGAATTTAGTTGGAGTCAGTTGACCTGGCTGTGAAGTAAGCGAGTTAACCAGAAAGCCCCCCAATAGCCTGTGCCTGAACTTTACCCCTTTTCCTCCCCAGACTGCTTGTTCAAAGTGATAAGTTAACCAGCACATAGCTTACCTTGTGGCTAGGAACAAAGGACAGAACATGTTATACTGCGGCCCTAACCATGAAGACAGGGATTTCCTGCCAGATCCCCAAAACTGGATTTTAATCTTACGTGCAATCTGCTTCTGTACCCCCGTGCTTGCTCAAAGATGAGATCATGACATTCTATTATGTGGCTTTCCCTTTAAAAACTGGGCTTCGGGCTGGGAATTTAGCTCAGTGGTTTTACCGCCTGCTGCGCAAGCACAAGGACCCGAGTTCGATCCCTGGTACCAAAAAATAAATAAATAAATAAAAACTGGGCTTCCCTGCCTGATCAGTACCAAGGAAGATGGGAGCCTGAGCTCATCCTTGGTCACCAGCTATTAAAGACTCCTTTAATTTGGACATTCTCATGGTGTGATTTTTCTCTCTGAGACAGCTGTAACAGCTGGAAATGAACTCAGCCAAGCCCTGCTACTTCCAGTGTAACACCGCCAAATTATGGAGGGGCAAGAAGCTTGTGCCATTTATAGCCTGCTAATGCTGGGCAGAGTTCTCTGCTACACCTCTCCCTACTGCAGATAGGTAAGTTAATTAGATATCTTGTAGGCAGATAGACAGGGCCGGCCCTTGAGGAGCCAACGTGGAAGACAATCAAGACACATTCACTGAATGCTAGCATTGTAAAAGAATAAGAAATACTACAACAAGGGCCAGTGACTGATATTCTAAATAGGCATCAATCACCTGGGTAGGGGACAAAGATTTCCAGGAAAGATCCCTGACCTACCTCTTATGGAAAATCCTTGCTCCTTCCTTGTACACTGGCCATGTGACTTGCTTCCCCCATTTCATCCCCAATTAATCAATGTTACCTAAGCAACTACACTTGTTGTAATCTTATTGGTTGATCATAGTTTTGTCCCACCTCATGTCCACCTTGTGATTTACCATTGGACTAATACTATCTAAGCAACTGTATTTGTAATCTTACTCGTTGACCACAGTTTTGTCGCACCTTGAACCCACCTCACTTTGCTCCATAAAACCCCCCTGGGAAACAAGGTCCCTGGGCAAACCACTTTCTGGTCCCCCTTCTGTCTCTCTTAAAAGCTATCTTTCTCTCAATAAATGTTTCCTACTCTTAACCTCCATTCTTTGATTTTAGAGAACACAAACTCGCGTTTTGGCTACCTGGGAGGTTTGAGAGTCACATCTATTCCCCCTATATCACCCCCACCATATTTTGCTTGAAAAAGAAAAAGAAAGAAAGTGGGGGGCAGGGACAGAACACAGGAGAGGCAAGGTGGTCAGCTGGGTGGGGG